AAGCAGAATTGTACTTTATGTAAAATCTCAATTAAATATTCAATAAAGATAGAGGCATGGCCTCACCATTAATATTATAAAAAATAAAAAAAAAAACAATAATGAAGTTAGTAAACAAAAATCAAATGAAAGTCACAAAAGAACAAACTATAAGCAACATTATTGTCCTGGTGCTAATTTCAAGAGAGGTGAACCTAAAGAAGACAATAATGAAGTTAGAATTAAAAAAAAGCTAGCACAGAACAAATACAGGCTACATACCACCAATATAGCACTAATTTCATGAACCGGTGAGCCTAAAGATAATATCAAAGTTGGTAACAAGAATTAAAAAAAACTGCTCACTAAAGAACAAACTATAGCTATATACATATCACTCAATGCGAATCTAAAGAAAATTTTTTTTAAAAAAAAAGATAATCACAAATCTTGATATTATTGGCTGATTATATTGTCAAATCTTAAATATTATTGATATTATTGGCTAATTATGTTAAAATTTAAATTAGTTTTTTTTTTTTTTAAATATTTAAATAATATTTAATTAATGAGATTTTAATAAAATCATTCTAACTGATTTGTTAAAACAATATCCTATCATGTGAAATATAGTTGTTTGTCATACAATATATATCTATTTTGATATATGCAGATACTGATGCATAAAGTAGTTAATGCATATAACAATGAAAGTAATAAAATAAATAAAAGAACTGATCATGACAGTAATTGATCTTTTTTCTAGTTGTGCAGTTGCCTAATAAAGGCTGTTCAACACTTGTCTCGTGAATTAGTAGATAAAAACAATAAAACAGGTTAGACATGTTACTACAAATAATAGAGAAATATATATAATGAAAGTCATATCTTGAACCAATATTGAGTAAAAAGTCAAGCCTCAAAGCGAATACAGAGTAAAACACATCAGTTTTTTTATTCATGTATGTTTTAGTTCTCTACTAATCCTTTACTTTATATGTCTTCGCTCAAAATATAGATATGTCACATAGGAGGAATAGAAGAGTAGTATCACGAAAGTTATACTTCCAAGTCGACATATAGCCAACAGCACTATTTAGCCGCATTAGTATATATGCCTTTTCATATCGGGGAAAAGTTGGGTATTTTTAATTTTTTTATATTTCTGACTTCTATTTTACATAGGTTAGTAATGGCAAGGCTGTTCACATTATATTTAAAAACTCAGAACTATACCATAGGTACTATATAGATAATGGAACTGTTTGATACTGGCAACAAAATTATTGACCATGATGAAGCTTATGAAGATCAAGAAAATATTTTGCCTCATGAAGAATGTTGTAATGATGTTCAGGAAAATATTTCATCTCGTGCTAGAATAGTCAAAAGAAGACTACTTGAGACACTTTCAATGCCTGATGATGTTTTTAGGCAGGCACAGGAATTATGTGTTGAAATAACATTTGAAAATTAGAATTATGCATATTTGGTATTGTTAGCATATGGACAGCAGACTGGTTTTGTTTGGCAAATTCGGAACAAAAAGCTAAATAAGACTGTAGTATGTATAAGTATGTTTTCGAATATCAGCATGCAGGAAAATTTTAATCAAAAAAAACAGCTGTTGATCTTTCAAAACAGCATAACAGAGAATCAGTTAAAATGGCATGTACTTGTTTTATTAATATGTCCTGGCCACTTAAATCATCAAACCCAAGTATTACCAAAATGAATCTAGAACATCATGGTCATGTACTCAATCCTAGAAAGTTTTGTTTTGCAAATGTTTATCAACAACTTCCTCAAAATGTCATGGACAAAATCAAATTTTATGTAAACACTATTCATGATATTAACCAACATACGGTGAGACAACTTCTTAGTGGTGAATTTAAAGAACAATTATTTTTAGATAAGGATTTGGCGAATGCTATTCAGCAATTTTGAAGGGATAACACAATAAATCCTGAGCAAGACCCTGAAAATAATGCTTCAAATTTTCTTAAAGAATTACAAAAAATGAAAGAGAATGATCCTATGTGGTTTATAACTTATAATTGTATCAAAAATCGTCTTTTTTATTTGTTTTGGATGACACCTAATCAACAAAACTTTACTTAAAGTATCATGCTGTTATTTTAACAAATAATATAGCTTGAACAAACAAATATCGCATGGCGTTATGTCTATTTGTAGGCATTGATCAACATCACCATTCAAGATTAGTAGCTCAAGTCCTAATGTCTGATGAAACTACTTCGTCTTATATATGGGTTTTTAAAAACCTTTTAGCAGCTACAAACAATCTACCATCTGCAACTATATATTCTGACTGTGATAATGGATTAGGGCCAGCAATTGAATCCACCCTACCAAATACACAATATTTACATTGCATCTTTCACATAGTTCAAAATATCAAAAAACACTTGATGCGTCCTCTTGATTCCCGATTTGCTACTTTTCAAACTACTTTTTCATCTGCCGCAATACTTTATTTAAAGAAATTTTCAAATCTCGATTCGATTCATTATGTACAAAATATCCAGAAGCTTCATCATATTTGTAGAACATTTTATACCCGATTAAAGAAAAATGTGCTAAGTGTTATACTTTTAGGTAATTAAAATTTAAACTATAATGTGATAATATTAGGAGAAAACCAGACTTTGAATATACAAATTTTTATGATCAAAATTTGATTTTCTATTAGTGTTATATAATAAAGCTATGTATAGATTCAGGTTATAATTGATATATAAAAAAATTTTTTTTAGGAATTTAATGCTAGAATGTCTTTAACTTAAAGAGTTGAATTCATTAATGGCATTATACATAAATATGTCAACTCACATTCAACATTAATGGATTGTTTTAACAGTATACAACAAATGCTCTCATCTGAGCTTCAA